TTTTTTTTTTAAACAAGGGGGTTTTAACAATCTGTTATCTATATTTCATGGATTGGGGAGAGCATCACTCCAAAAAGGGTAGATGTTGGGCTATAAGAGGTCCTTAGGTTTGGAGGACCATACTCTCTTTGTACTAAGAAATGTCAGCTGGGGTTAAGTGTTAAAGACTGGGTGAAATCTTGGGTCCACAAACCAAGAGCTTAGCTCTCATGATAAATTTCCTATTACTTGTCATGGAGAGAGAGAGGATGAAATGCTATGTTCAATTGAATGTGGACTGTTGCTACTAGGTATAGCATCTGTAAGAAACGAGGTAGGTGTTGCAAATAACTCCACCCCAGCAGGTGTGGATTATCTTTTCTGAAGTCTAGACCTCAAGGGTAACAGTCCTTGTTTACCCTCACTTTAGGTCTCCTCTAATGCTTCAGTAGTCACTGAAAAAACTGAGCTAAGAGGTTACCTACTGTGGGCAGTCTTTACAAATAGTCATATTCCTTTTAAAAATTCATTGAGTAGTTTTTTTATACCTGACATTGTCATTTCCCTCCCCCCTCCACCTAAACAGGTTAATTTTTGTATATGAAAATGATTTAATACTAGCACATAATTAGAGAAGAGCCTAGAAAAATTTTGATCAGAGACAAATCTTTACAGAAGGTTAGATGGACATTTTAAAATCAAATTTGGTTCCACTAATGTCTGCTATTTCCCTTCAGTTAAAGTGTAAATAGTTGAGAATAGAAAGTCTTAGCTGTTTAACCAACTATACATTAGCAGAGAGGCTGACTGCAATCCTAAAAAATATCTAGGATTAGTTAGTTGCCTTGATTTTTCAGCATTTGTCAAAAACTTTAGCCATCAACATAGTTCAAGTGATTCAATGTCATTTAACTATATTTGTGTGGCCTTCCATGTGCTGGAGCACAAACACCACATCTGAGTGGATAAGTCAAAACCTACATTTAGTACAATGTAAAAATGCAGAAAAATCTAGATAGATACAACCAAAGAAACCATAAACTATTAAGTGAAAGAGCCAATTTGAAGGGCAAGTAACTGCAAACTGTAAAGGAAAAAAAGGCATAAAACCAGAACAAAAAGTTAACAAAATACTTCAAATAAAATAGATGGTATTTGGGGGGGGGGGGGGGAGGGGGACCACATCACACTACAGTATGCTAAAGGAAAGCTACAGTGGAACCTTACAAAAAGAGAAAGAGCTGAACAAAAGACTACCTGGCTGATGAAGTTTATACTTTTTCCAAAGTGAGCACATGATGATTGAGTTAATGTTCTTCTGACAGAGAGGCTGGCTGATTTTTCCAATTGTTTTGTTTCCCACCCCCAAAATGTCCATTAACATTGTTGGAAGTTAACTTGTAAGTAACCCTAGGCCAGAGACAATCCTTTTATTTGGATTATGCATGAACATATAATCAATGCTTAAAAATAATGGAGGGAAAAAATAGGCCCCCCTTTTCATAATGGCTAGCTTCTTCTTTACAAGAGTAAAACATCTGACCCAAATAGATCAACAGGAACTGCCAATTAAGTAGACTGTAAACCTTGTAATAAGCTATGGATTTTAGCTGTACTAGTCCCATTGACATTAGCAAGAATTAAGACAAACACACAGGTTTCCAAGATCTGGCTCTTAAGTAATCCATATACCGGAGCACTGACTTCAAGCAGACTACTAGTCCGAGTACAAGTTTACTGGATCAATCCCCTAGAGAGAAAATACTTGGCTCTATCAATACTTCAGACAAATATGAAATGCTAAGTACATTCTATAGCACTTTTTAACCAAGGTGTTAATAGCCCTTTATAAAACAAAAAAACCTTTTAAAATCCATTAGATAGGCAAAAAAATTCTCATTTAGAGAGTAAACTGAGGCAAAGAGGATGAGTAACTTCCCAAAGGTCATACAAGAAAGGTATAGCCAGTTAACTACACACAATTGAAGATCTTGGATAATAGAGCAAGTTAAAGAAAGCATTTAGGTTATAGGCCATTTGGACTGTACAATGACAAAGTAACAGTACTGTAGTTTTGAAAAATATGTAACTTCAAAAATCCACTGAGAGGTACAATAGGGAGTAAACAGCTACCGCTACCAGCAACCAGGCATTAATTCAATTGCCAGCTCCATCAAGGTGTGGTTCAGCTAGTCCTCATCTATAAGGAGACTGGATTCTCACACTACTGGTTTACCAGCACACCAGGAGCAATTCTCTTAGTGGCACCAGCTGCAATTACTTTATCACCATGTGCAGCATTAAATGATGTAGTGTATATCACCTACAGGCATCTTTACTACCATTCCTCCAACTGCCAGCTCTGCTGGAGCTGCAACAGTGCTTGACCAACCGAAGGAGAATATCTAAGTGACTCATTTTAGCATGGTATATCCACAGGAGAGAGGCAGATAAGATGGACAAGTGCAACGAGCAAATACATGGCAAATAAAAGATGCACACAAGGACATAGGGATAGAAAAACGGTACAGAAGTGGAAAGGTTTATACTGCTATGGATGAAGTGCTCTCAGCTGTCTTCTAAACAAGGTTTTATTTTAGATCCATGATTGACATATGAATGCATGTGTGCATGGCCATGGTGAAAGAACCAACAATGGAGAGCTGCAAAGCTGAGCGACACTGGAGGCTAAGGTGACTGCTCAAGCATTCAGAACATGGACTCAAGCCTGTTCTACACTAATAAATTGACCTGTTAAACAATGGTTGTTGGAGCAGATCCCCTTGAACTGATGCTTTCCATACTGGGGCTGCAGTTTATATGCTAGCCATTAAACCATTTTCAGCCATTAAACCATTCAGGTTTAGAGGAACCCATTACTAAAAGTCATCTTTAGCAATGGGTAAAATTCCAAACTAGAGGTAAAACTCACTGAAGACCAAGGAAGAGTTGA